TGTTAAATTATTTAACCCTCACAACAACCTTATGGAGAAAAAGAAAGAAAATATTTTCCGTGTCCCCGCCTGCAGAGTCAGTGTGCGGTTTGGGAGAAAATGTGTCGGATATTTTGGGGCGGTCACGTGGGCGGGCGGGCTCCGAGAGGCCCCGGGACAGTCCCAGCCTAGAGCCCGTGCACCCCCCTCCAAGAGCCCCCCATTACGGCGAGCCTCTGACACTGCGACGCTCCAGCCTCACGACCGCCGGACGTCGGGACCTCGGGGCTCCGCGGCCTCCCTTCCTCCTCCTCCCTTCTCCACCAGGTGAGTCAGGCGGGGAGGCAGGCTCCTCCGCCCCGATGCCTGGGTCCTCCAGTGAGGTGGGCTGGGGGCGGGGGCGCCGAGGAAGACGCCAGCTCTGTCCCTCCCAGGTTGGTCAGGTTGTCAGAAGGGTGTGAGGGGGACTTACTGCCCCAACTTGGGGGTCAGCCCTGATGTGGGAAGGGAATGGGGAACATTTGAGACGAGCTGGGCCTGGGCTGGGCTTTATCGCCCCTTCATTCTGGTGAGTAGCAGGGGACAGCATTTAGGAAAGAATCTCCAGCCAGGGGTCTTCTAGCCTACTTTTGTGCTTGGAGTGTTTGAGAAGACAGGGTTCTTTCCAGCGGGGAAAGACCACTGCCTGTCTTTCCCTGGCTTCTCTTTGGAGAGTCTGAGGGGTAGATTTTTGGTCCAAGCTGGTCCAAGTTGCTCCTTCCCCAATGGAATGGCACGGCTTGGACATCAGCATGGTAAGGAAAGGGTCCCCACCTTAGTGATCCTGACCCTCTGGGTCCAGGAGTTTGGAGAGACAAGTGGATGGGATAGGGGTCTGTAAAGTTTCCTTGAACCACAGTTCAGGATCCCCTCTCTCATATGCTCAGCTGCGGGTGTAAATCTTGGCTCCCTCCAGCTAAGGCGGGGGGCTTCTTGGGTGTATTCTTGGAGGTAGCCCAAACGGAACAAAGGAAGAGCAGGAAGACTGAGGCAGGGACCCAGGAGTTCTAATCTGGAGCTCCACTGACGCTGCCTCTCTCTTTAGCAGTTAACAGCCCAGCCCCCTCAACCTGACCCAATATGTAGGAGGGAATCTCTGCAGGTGGCCAGAGGGTAAGAATGTGCATGGTTGGGGGTGAGGGGGAGGACAGGGGAGCCTGAAGAGGGGTCTGTAGGGCAAGAAACTGACTTCTCAGACTGGGCCGCTTTAGGTCCCAGGTCCAGGCAGTTGCAATCCCAGTCCTCAAGCCTGAGGCTCCTGCCTTTACTGTCACTCCTCAGATGCTGAGTTGGGGTTGAGGACCATAGGCAGTGTGTCCCATATTCTTAAGGCAAGAAGAGAGGAGATAGGAAAGGGGGCAGGGGGTAGTGTGCCTGGAGCTTGGGTATCCCAAATAGAGAGAGAGAGAGAGAGAGAGACACACACACACACACACACACACACACACACACACACACACTGTGGCACACACACTGTGGCTCAGAGCCTGCTAGGCAGCACAGGGCACACACCCCCACCCGGCACACCCCCACCCCTGGCTCAGAAAGCCACCTAACTGGCACCTCCAGTTCCCCCCTCTGCCCCACCCTGCCCGTGCCCTCCGATGCCCACACACATTCCACTGGCATTGCCTGCCTGCCTGCCTCAGGGGAACTGCCCCTCCCTGGGGCCAGTGAGGTGGAGGGAGGGCACCTGGGGATGAGAGGTGGAGACTCAAGGGTCTGGACTCCCCCAAGGGTGGCACAAAGCCAGGGAAACCCGGCCCACTGCTGCCTCCTGGGGAGCAGGCTGGGGGCCCAGGCTAGAGCAGAGGATGCCTGGGTTCTCCGCCCAGGCTGGGGATGGGGTCATGGAAAAAGGTGGTCGTGTTTATATAGAGGGGAGGGGGGCAGTGGGTGGAGAGCAGCCGACAAGAGCAGCTTTGTTCCAGGCTCTGGAGCGGGTAGGGCAGCAGGGAGACGCACCCCCCCCACCTCCATCCGGCAGCCCCCTTCATCCATGCCCTCCCCTCAACTCCACCTCAGCTCTAAGAGTAGCAGCTTTGTATGGGTCCCTTTCCCCTAGTGAGCCCCCCTCAGTCTGAGGTGACATCTTGGGAGGGGAGAAGTGTTCTCCCCCTTCCACAGGTCCCCCAAAGAACTAAGGCATCTGGGTCCCTAGTTTAGGGTTTCCTTTGATTCTGCACCACTGTTTTCCATTCCTTGGTCCCTTCCTCCATCCAGGACTTAAGAAACACCCGTTCCCTTCTCAGCCAAGGCAGAGAAACCAAGGCTCTGAAATGGGATGAATCTCTGTCCCCTTCTTGTCTTCACTCAACTCTCAAGTCCTGTCTCTGAGGCAAAATAAAAGCAAGGCCAGGGAGAGCTGGGCTGTCCTTCACTCCTTACAGCTTCATTCCTCGGTAAGGACCAGGAATCTGAGGTATCTGTCTCTGGGATCCCTCCCACCCCCCAAGTCCTCCTGCCTCATCTTCAGGTCTCTGTTTACCATCTATAGGTGAGAAGCAGACAATGAGGCCTGGAGCATTGAATGGGTCCCCAGTCTAAGTCAGTCTGGGGAAGATGGGGTGGGGGGGGGCTCTAGTAGCTTCTCACCCTTGGCATTGGAGAGGTTAATCCACCTGGAATGTGGCCCAGCCTGTTGAGCTATGGCCCAGGGGCCTAGGGGCCCCGGACTCCTGGCTCCACCTGGGCTTAACCAGGGATGAGGACTTCAGGAAATAGGGAAAGGAAGAGGAGAGGGACCCTGGGGGCTTGGAGCTCAGACTTTTAGAGCCTGGGGAGACACTGGGCTGAAAAGTCTGAGGCTGCTAGGCATATGGGTGTTGCCTAGTGAGGGGCAGGGGCTGCTTCATACATTGAAACTGAATGAGGTGGTGGTTTTGGGGGTCTGAGTTCCTGTAACCTCCATGACAATTTACCCTCAGGAACTTGAAGGCCAAGGAGATGAGAGATGGGGGGGGGG